ATTTATCGTTTTCAACAGGAACATTTCCAGAAAATATGAAAAAGATAGTTTCTCTTCATAAGAACAGTGAGAAATGTGTGTTCACTAATTACAGACCAATATCCTTGTTGACACAAGTTTCAAATATATTATAGAAATTATTTGTAACCAGATTAGTTTGATTTCTAGATAAACAGAATATTTTAAATAATAGTCAATATGGGTTTAGAGCAAATAATTCAACATCAATGGCACTCATGGAACTAATAGAAGAGATAAAAACTGTTGTTGATCAAAAACAGTATTGTGTTTGTGATGATTTAAAAACGTCCTTTGACACTATTGACCACACCATTCTCCTTGAAAAACTGAATAAATATGCATGAGGGGATTAGCACTACAGTGGGTATCCAGTTATTTGAATAATAGGAGACAGTTTGTACAGGTAAAAGATGTAAGATCAGAATTTTGTGTTAATGGATGTGGAGTTCCTCAGGGCTCTGTGTTGGGACCAAAGTGGTTTATTTTATATGTGAATGATCTGGTTAATGTGTCGGGGCTTTTGAAGTGAGTTTTATTTGCAGATTATATCACTTTTTTTTGTTCGGGTGAACATATTGAATGGATATCCTGATGCATGCTCAATAATCCAGGTAGAAAAATGCATTTTGGGGTTTAAAAGCCACTGGGACGTTATGTTTAGAAAATAAACGTCTCAGTTTCTCTGATACTCCCTCAACATATGGAATGACCACTGGTCTGGGTCTGGGTTCCTCCTTTTCACCTGTTGGCTGACTGGAGTCCTGTTTGGGTTTCTTCTCTGCTTTCAGGAAGGCCCAGTTAGGATATCCACATTGCTCTAAAGCCTGTCTTGTGTGGGATTTCTCCTTCTGCCTGGCTCCTGAGTTAGTGGGGACGCTGTCTGCTCTGTGGTACAGAGTCCTGATGACTCCTAACTTGTGCTCCAAAGGGGCACACTTTGTGGACAAGGTGAGGGATGTCATCATGGAGACTGATGAAACAATGGTCTCTTTTGATGTCACATCACTCTTTACGTGCATTCCTGTTGATGATGCAGTAGAGGTGGTCAGTTTAAAATTAAAATCAGACACCACTCTGAGCAGCAGGACCACACTTTCTACAGAACAACTGTGTCAACTCTTGAAACTGTGCCTGCAGTCAACCTACTTCACATATGGGGAGCAATATTATAGGCAGAAACATGGGTGTGCTATGGGGTCTCCAGTTTCTCCTAATGTTGCCAACCTGTACATGGAGGAGGTAGAAAAGAGAGCCTTAACGTCCTTTTCAGGGACACCACCAAGTCATTGGTTCAGGTATGTTGACGACACCTGGGTTAAAATCAAATCTCAGGAAGTCCAACATTTTACTGACCACATCAACTCTGTGGATAAATACATCAAGTTCACACGAGAAGATGTAAAAAATGGCAGGTTGGCTTTCTTGGACTGTGGGGTCTCAGTCTCTGATAGAGGACATTTGCAAACTGAGGTGTACCACAAACCCACCCACACAGACCAGTATTTGCAGATTGACTCCCATCACCCTTTGGAGCACAAGTTAGGAGTCATCAGGACTCTGTACCACAGAGCAGACAGCGTCCCCACTAGCTCAGGAGCCAGGCAGAAGGAGAAATCCCACACAAGACAGGCTCTAGAGCAATGTGGATATCCTAACTGGGCCTTCCTGAAAGCAGAGAAGAAACCCAAACAGGACTCCAGTCAGCCAACAGGTGAAAAGGAGGAACCCAGACCCAGACCAGTGGTCATTCCATATGTTGAGGGAGTATCAGAGAAACTGAGACGTTTATTTTCTAAACATAACGTCCCAGTGGCTTTTAAACCCCAAAATACATTAAAGACTGGTTCATCCCAAAGATCCAGTCCCCCGGCACAAACAGAGCAATGTTGTGTATGCTGTTCAGTGTCAGGAGGGCTGTGATCAGTCTTACATCGGGGAAACTAAACGGCCACTGGCCAAAAGGATGGACCAGCACAGAAGATCAACATCATCAGGCCAGGACTCTGAGGTCTACACTCATCTCCAGGTCAGAGGTCACTCTTTCAGGGATGAAGATGTTCACATCCTGGACAGAGAGGAACGATGGTTTGAGAGAGGAGTAAAGGAGGCCATCTTTGTGAAAAGAAACCGTCCATCATTAAACAGGGGCGGAGGCCTCCGGGTTCAACTGTCCCCCTCTTACAATGCTGTGATTGCTAGTATCACTCAGCCCTCTGTGAGTAGTAAACAGCCATCAGTGTGCTAATGATCCATTGTTAGGCTGATGGTCCTTCTTGAGCATGTGATCAGCTGGTTTTGGTTGTCAGCATCAAACTGGTTGATCCACTCTGAGAAGGTGCTATTTAAGAGACTGAGCTGAATACAGCTCCTCAGACTGAGGAAGTCTCTCGGATGAGAGACGAAACGTTTCTACATTTTTTTGTTGATTTGCTTTGTTTTGTTTTTTTGAATGTCCAGAGGACCAGATTTAACTTTTTTAGATATTGAATGGATGTTAGAGATGATACAGGCAGAATTTGTAAAAATACAAACTTGGTTCCAACTTAATAAATTATCATTAAATTTGGAAAAAACAAACTACATGATATTGAGTAATAGAAAATTATTGAAGTCCCATTTAAAATTGACAGTATTGAAATTTTTCATTAATTCATTCAACCTTTATTTAAACAGATAAATCACATTGAGCCTCGAAGACTCATTTACAAGTGAGACCTGTTTGGACAGACAAAAACAGTGGTTAACTGGACACATGCAGGAGTTGGAGGCGAAAAAAATTCCTATCAGACTTTTTTCTTGGCTGAGAAAAACTCCTAATATTGAAAAAACACATCGCACAAACAAGCACATATTTACGTAGACATTCTGCATCAGAGACGAGAGCGGTCAACAACGCTTATAGATGCTCTTGAGGTCACTGTAATCAGTCAATGTCCTCCGGTGAGATCCATAAACATTCTTGAGGTATGTCGAGGAATGGCCAAGAATGACCCCTGAGAATCCAGAGTCCTGAAATGATGACACAAAGTTTTTTCAGCTGGTTCATCTGGTTATCAGTTGGAAATTCCTCAGGGAGGGGGTGGTGAGCGTCAGATCACATTTTCTCCAGGCGATTAATTCATAGAATTAATTAAATAAAATGTTTGGGTGTTGTTATTGATGAGAAGCTGACATGAAAATCTCATGTAAATTACTCAAATTCAATTTCAATTCAATTAAAAAAAACTTTAATAATCCCAAAGGGAAATTATTTGTTGTTGTAACTCGTTATCCTCATTTCATTAAGAGATGTTATGGATACTGATGCTGTAGACAGGAAGGATCTCTTATAAAGGTCCATCCCACAGTGGATTTTAAGAAACTGGCTGCAGATGCTGTCCGATCCGTCCACCCAGACTCGGCTGGCCTCTCGGTTCCCCTGGGATGTAGGACCGCCCGAATGCTGGGAAGAACTCCTCTCAGAGCGATGGCCACTCCTCCCAGCAGTCTGCTGAGCTCCTCGTCTCTGCGGACAGCCAACTGTAGGTGCTGAGGGACGATCCTGTCCTTCTGCTGTCATGAGCCGTGTTTCCTGCCAGTTCCAGGATCTCAGTGGTCAGGCACTCAAGCACAGCTGGCAGGTAGATGAGAATGCGTCCACAGAACATCCTTTTCAACTCATTTGAGATTTGGGGCTGTAGCTGAGATATTATTTGAGCTTTTGAGATGTTAATCAGCTGCTGTTGGTTGTAGAAAACTGCCTTGTTGCCATGGTTACGCATCATAACAAATGTCCAAAACTAAAAAAAGTTTCAGTAAAAATCCTTCCAGCTGCACAGCATCTGATATCAGAGGAAACAATCATCCAAAAAAATGTGAATTTACATCCAGAAAAAGAGGAATTAAAGTTTCCAAAAGCAAAATCTCAAAATGAAAGTAACAGAGCTGCTCCAACATGCAGCCACCTGGAGCGGCACAAAGAATAAAAATAAATCAATTGCATTACTGTATAAAGTAAAAGAGTTTTTGAATGACAAAGCTTTGTATATATTGTATAATGTAATGATTGTTCCATATTTAATCTATTGTATTGAAGTTTGGGGAAATCATGCAAAACAATTACAAATCCTATTTTCATTTTACAAAAAAAGCTATAAGAACTATTAGTAGGAAGTGCTATGGTCACCCAACAAATATATTATTTCATCAATTGAAATAATTAAAAGTTTATGATTTGGTTGAATAATATTTTACAAGTCATGTATATAGCTCATAAAATATATTACTTTTAAATATTCAATTAAAATTTGTTATAAAAGAGAGTCATTATAACCTTAAGGGAACAGAAATGTTTGTAAAACCTCCATTTAGAACTAGTGTGAAGGAGCTGTGTTGTAGTTCAGGGAACAGGATGTGGAGTTGCCTTGATATCACCATAAACATTTCTAAAACAATTTATATGTTTAAAAAGATGATTAAGTTAAAATTGTTAGAAAAGTATGATATCGTGAAGAATGTCTGATGTTTTTTGTTTTCGCTTTGGGGATTGTTCAAGCCTGACTTGTTGTTTGTAGTTATTTTATATATATTTACATAAAGAGCAGACATAAGAATTTTTTTCTTCTTTCTGCACCCTTTTCTTCCAATGTTTTTTTTCTTTTTGATGAATTTGTTTCTTTTGTTTATTTGAAATGAATGAATAAATGAATTTAAAAAAACCTTCAGGCTCAATGAGATTAACCTGTAGAAATAAAGGCTGAATAAATGAAGACCATGAACAGGACCAGAGACGGCCCAGGCAAAGTCCAGCCCAAACTGAGAAGCAGACCCTGCTGCTGGCTGAGCTGAAAGATTCAAACCAAAGAGAAGGTTTGTCCTCTATGCAACTCTGAAATGGTTTCATGATGTCACATTTTCCTAACGACTGTACCGAGCTGCTGCATCCAACAGCTCCTTTATTACAGCAAACTGGAACAAACAACCTCAACAGAGACACCTACCCTGAGGAAGGAGTCCAAGCACCCATTAGACATACTCTCCATGATGATCATCGCAGTGTTTCCTGCAGAGACACCACAGAGGAGGAACACTCAGGAGAAGGAGGTGATGAAGAGGCAGAGGAAAAGAGGAAGGAAACACTGACCGGATGTGGCCAACATACAACAGCATTAAACATGTCACAGTCAGAACAGCTTCCCCATCCACCTGCAGGACCCTCCGCTTTTACCTGACATGATCTGCTTACCGGTGGTGATGACCCCCTCCAGCCTGATGATGTTGGCGTGGTCAAACTGCCCCAAGATGCCGGCCTCGCTCAGGAAGGAGCACCGCTGTTTTTCAGAGCAACCGGCCCTCAGAGTCTTGATGGTAACAGGAAGTTCCCTCTTACTGGGCAGCTTCAGGCAGCCGCAGCACACCTCCCAAAAGTCACCTGGGGGGGGGGGGGGGGGTTGTGTCACAGGTTAGTATCTGCAGGTCCAGTAGCGGGTTTCAATCTATACAAATCACCATGAAGAGGACTGTTTCTGAAGCACCTGTGTGCACGATCCTGTCGATCTTGATGCTCTGGTTGTCCAGCTCCTTGGCAAAGGCGTGCACAGCCTGAAGCAGGTCCTCGCACATCTCAGGGTCCATGTAGGTCCGTCGGGTCGGGATTTTAACTGCAGCCAAACACAAACGGAGAAATCCTCCATGAAACGACTCAACAATGAGAGCTCTGCTCCGGCTGCAGGACACTCTGAACAAAGAAAGTGAAGATCAAAGTCCAAGGCAGCAGCTGCACAAATGGACTCCGGTACCATTAGAGTCCAGATAAAGCAGCAGAGCAGCTTGTTAACAGAAAGTCTGGGTTCCTCTAACAAGCACTTCCTGTCTGGTGATTGGTCAACATTAGAGCCGTGTGCCAAGAAGCTCTTTGATGTTGAGTTCATCCTCCAGAACCGTCTGGTTCGGAAGCAGCTGGACCCGCAGAACTCTGCCATCTTGTGATCTTTAAACTCTGCACAGACTAATTTAATTCTGCTTCCATTAGCTCACAGAGTCCTGCAAAGAATATTATCTGTATAACAAGTGTGCACACACACATGCCGTGTGAAACTGGGGCAAACAAAATGGTTTAAAAATGCTGAGGAAACAAAGAACTTAAAGAAACACGCGAGTACACTGTAAGGATTTAAACTGATAAAATTTGTTTCTCTTAGTGACCCTCTGACCTTCAGGAGGAACATCTAACCCTCTGACCTTCAATAAAGAATGAAGACCAGCGGTTCTTAGCGGTCCAGTTCTTGGGTAGAACTACAAAGTTAGACTGAGAAACTAAACGTGTGGCTGATGGAGATTATCCCAGAAACATCCGATCGTTTCCATCCTCCAAATGAGCAGGATAACGTTAGGAAGGTTTCCATGGAAACGATCTGCTTTCTGCATCAGCTGCTCGAAAACTGGGCAGTGAACTATGACCATGAAGCTCCATGTCACATGACCTCTGACCCTGTCAGTGCTCGTTAACGATAGTCTTCTTGGAACAGTCTGATCTGAGGTCAGAAATGTGCTGCAGCTCAAACAAGGAGTGAAGAACCGACCTGAAGGGGCAAGGAACCAATGTGAAGAGGTGAGGAACCTCGTTGATGGGATGAGGAACTCACCTGAAAGGGTGAGGAACCCAACTGAAGGGGTGAAGAACCAACCAGGAGTGAGGAACCCTCCTTAAGGAGAGAGGAGCCCTCCTGAATGGGTAGACAAAAATCTTCCTTAAGGGTGAAGAATCCAACTGAAGGGGCGAGGAACCGTCCTGAAGGGGTGAGGAATCCAACTGAAGGGGTGAGGAACCCAACTGAAGGGGTGAGGAACATACCTGAAGAAGTGAGCAACCCTCCAAAAGGGGTGAGGAACCAACCTTAAGGGGTGAGGGACCTACCTGAAGGAGTGAGGAACACTTCTGAAGGGGTGAGGAACACTTCTGAAGGTGTGAGGAACCCACCAGAAGGGGTGAGAGACCCACCTGAAGGGATGAGAGACCCACCTGAAGGGGTGAGGGACCTACCTTAAGGAGTGAGGAACCTTCCTGATGGGGTAAGGAACCCTCATGAAAGGGGTGAGGGACTAGAGGATTAAATTTTTTCGGGAGTACAGCGGGTCACGTGATTCCGGCAGGATTCTCATTATAACTCACGTGGCCGGGACGTGACCGGACTGAAAGCTAAAGGGAGCAGACAGGAGCGATACTCTGCTGGCGGACGTGCCAGCTTACCTTCGCTGCGCTCCTCACCTCCATGCCCGGAGATCTCGCTTCAGACGCCAGGGAAAACGTGCTGGTCAGCTGGTGAAGCTGAAAGCTCTGCGCGCTGCATCTTCCTCTCCAGCTGGCGGTCATGGTCTCCAGCTTCCCGCGTGCCCGGACCAGGTAACCAGCGGGAGTTGTCAGCCGTTGCGCAGCTCGGACCGACCTGGAGGGGCTGTTATTGAAAACCTGCGGCCATTAGCGCGCGCTAACTCCACCGCTGCTAGCTCCACTTTGGACAATATCCGGATGCGTTTGGTCAACGCAAGATCTGTTACCAACAAAACTTTTATCCTCAGGGATTACTTTCAAGAGCACGATTTGGACTTTCTGTGCATCACAGAAACTTGGATGTCTCCGGGTGAGTCCAGCGCCTTAACGGAATTACTACCACCAAACTGTTTGTATTTTAATGCACTGCGGCCATCAGGCTGGCGCGGTGGTGGATTATTAACAATATTCAAATCAACTTTTGACTGTAAACAACTGCCCATCCCAGTTTCCCGCGCCTGCTATGAACTGAGCGTCTTTGAACTCGGACATTCACCTGCGACATTATTTGCACTCGTCTACCGCCCACCTCGGTCTAAGGATTTCATAAATGAGTCTTCTGACTTCTTGGCTGAAATCACACCAAAATATGAGCATCTTTTTATTATTGGGGACTTTAATTTGCACGTGTACTGTCCTGAGAAGCCCTTGGTTAAGGACTTTTTAGATTTATTGGACTCATTTAATTTAACTCAGCTTGTAAATGAACACCTCACAAAGAAGAACGCAGAGATTGCTTACCAAGCGAGGATTCTGAAGAAGGAGAAAAAAATACAAGCTACATGGACTAGGAACTGTAAAATATTGATAAAACTTAATGGTTCTCCTGATCAGGCCAAAGTCCTAACTATCAAAAATGTTTCTGAGCTGGAGAAATATAGATGAACAATGTGGTTTACTTTTTTTAAATTTTGTTTTTCTGTCAGTCTGGTGTCTGTACATGCTGATGAGGTGAACGACATATTATTTATCCATGGGTGAAAGTACACAATTTAAGTGTTTCGATTTTAAAGATCACAAGTTTTATGATATAGAAACTGATATAGACCCAGAGACAAATTTCAGTCATAATACTAAACCACACTGTGAATATTATTCTGAAGGCAGTGTTAATGTGGGGTTGGGGGGCTTCTCACTTATTCATTTTAATAGTAGGAGCATGCAAAGCAATTTCTCTAAAATAAAAAGCTGCCTTCAAACATTTGATGAGAAATTTAGTGTAGTAGCAATCTCAGAAACCTGGATCACTGAAGGAAATGAACTGTTGGATGGTCTGGATGGATATCAAATGTTTGTTCAAAACAGGTTTAACAAAAGAGGAGGAGGTGTTGCACTGTTTATTCAGTCAGGACTGAAATGTAAGGTTATTGATAAAATGACATTTTCAGTTGATAACTTGATGGGATGTTTATCTGTTAAAATTGAGGGTAATAGATCTGAGCATATGTTAATTAGTTGTGTTTATCGAACTCCTAGCTCATGCATAGATGAGTTTAGTAAGAAAATATTAGAGATGTATGAGAGGTATAATGAAAAATTTACTTTTATTTGTGGGGATTTTAATATTGATTTGTTGAAATATAATGAACATAACAAAACAACTGAATTTGTCGACACAATGTTTGGTTTAGGTTTCTATCCATTAATATTAAGACCTACTCGAATAACCAAAGACAGTGCTTCACTGATTGACAATATTTTTATAAATAAGTTCAATGTGAAAACAAAAAGTGGACTGTTGATAACTGATATTACTGATCATTTGCCAGTGTTTACTGTGTTGGATACTAGTCATCAGTTTAATTTAAATATGACAAAGCCAGCTCCTAATCTAGTTAGAGCTAAATCACCTGAAGCTGTGGAAGAAATGAAAGCAGAGTTACTAAATTATAATTGGCAAAATGTTTTTGTTGATGACGTCAATGAGTCATATAATACATTTTTGGAAATATTTGAAAGAAGCTATAATCATCATTGTCCCTTTAAAGAATACAAACAAACATCAAAAAACCGATTGACTCCCTGGATGACAAAGAGTCTGGAAAAGTCGTGTAAAAAGAAAAACAAGTTATATAAGGATTTTATTAGGTGCCCAACCCAGGAAAAAGAAGAAAAATATAAAAAATATAAAAACAAATTAACATCAGTGCTGAGAAAGCAAAAACTATATTATTATGATACGCTATTGCAAAAATACAGCAATGATATTAAGGGTACTTGGAAGATAATTAATAGTGTCATTAAAAATCATAAAGACAGAGATTTTGCAATGTGTATTAAACATAATAACACCACAATGGAAAATAAAGAGGATATTGTTGAAGTCTTCAATCAGTTCTTTGTTAATATTGGTCCTAATTTAGTAAATGAGTTGCCAAAGGCTAGAGATGAAAAACTCAATTATACATTTAATAATATTAATACAATGTTTCTTGGAGGAGTGAGTGAAAGTGAGGTAATCGAAGTAGTTAAAAAATTAAAAAATAAGAAATCCAAAGACTGTAATTATATTGATATGGCTATTGTGAAAGAAGTCATTTATAGTATTATTAAACCTATTACCTATATCTGTAATAGATCATTCTTAACTGGAGAATTTCCTGATAAAATGAAAGTAGCCAAGGTGTTTCCAGTCCACAAAAATGGTAATAAGCAAAATGTAACAAATTATAGACCTATTTCATTGCTACCACAGTTTTCTAAAATCCTGGAAAAAATATTCATAAAAAGGCTGGACTCCTTTCTTAATAAAAACAATATATTAAATGAACACCAGTACGGCTTCAGAAACAACTACTCCACAACTTTAGCTGTGATGGAATTTGTGGAACACGTTGCTGCAGCAGTTGATCGGAAACTTAATACAGTGGGAGTGTTCATTGATTTAAGTAAGGCGTTTGACACTATTGACCATGAACGACTACTGTGGAAATGTGAACAATATGGCTTACGGGGGGTTACACATCAGTGGTTAAAGAGTTACTTGAGTAATAGATTACAATATGTACAAATTAACAATACAAAGTCACAAACTGAAACTATAAAATGTGGTCTTCCTCAAGGCTCGGTTCTAGGACCTAAATTATTTATACTTTATGTGAACGATATTTTTACAGTATCCAATATTTTGAAATTTATAATGTTTGCTGATGATACAAATTTTTTTCTTTCTGGAAAGAATATGGATGAACTAATACAAATAGTAGAAAAAGAGCTAGCTGAGTTAAAAAAGTGGTTTGATTACAATAAGTTATCATTAAATGGACAAAAAACAAAATTTATGGTATTTTCTGGTAATCGGATTTACAATAATGTAAAGTTACATCTAAA